TCCTGGCTCCGTCCTTGCCGGTAAGAGAAGCTTTGTAAAACCGGCTATACTGGGCCAGCCGATGTAGCGAACGTCTTCCGCTAGACGGAGTATCATACGAGAAAGAGGGATGTTTACTCCAAATCCATTTCCCACGCAGACTAGCATTCATTCGATTTATTATGTTTGAAACACCCTAACCACCGAACTCTTTGGGTCTGCAAACAGTTTACCAAATACTTATTGGTCCATCCTGTAGTGGCAGCACGGGAAAATATCAGGTGATACCGCCTCTTGTATGCTTCCATGATACCGATTTAAAAACTCAAATTTAAATATTTCAAAAAAAGTTGTGGATGTTCACAACATGTATGTCTACAAACCCTAAAAAATTCAGGTTAAAATTTGAATTTTACAGAGAGAATAAAAAAGGTAAGTCTGGATGTGAATAATGTAGGTTTTGACACTATTCATGCTTTTGTCTTTATTGACACTATTATGCTGATTTTGTCTTTTTTATTTCTCTTTGTGTACTTTAGATTTTGATCTGAATTTTTTAGGGCTTATAGACATACGCGTTGTGAACATCCACAAAAAAAATTGAATTTTTTGAAACATTTAAATTTGAGTTTTTAAAATCAATATCATGAAAGCATATAAAAGGTGGTATCACCTGATACTTTCCCGTGGCAGCACATGTACAGTTTACCAAACACCTCTATATAGTACAACACAGCCCGGGGCAAAACTGGAATTTGAGGCCCCCTAAGACAAGGACCAAAATCTTTCCCTAATAATAATAAAATATAATAATATTATATTATACTTATATAATAATAGTAATAATAATAATTTATACTTTATTTTTTTATTAATAAAGAGGCTATTGCTTCTTACCACCATAATTTCATCCTTTTTCGTTCGCCCGTCGTCCGTTCACTTCGCCCACATTACATTCCACAAGTTAAAAGACGTTTCGTCAGTCGATTTCCCCCATACAAGAACCGTATATGCCCCATGGGCCTCAGCCCAGAAAAATTAAGTTTCCATTGTGAGTCGAACTCATGTCCTACCAATAAATTTTTAAGGACCCGTCCAACAGACCACGCTCACGATTACATTAAAAGGAATAGACTCGTGCTTGCACACATCCACACCCTTTAGATTAGTCACAATGGGAGTAACTTAACTAGTAACATCACACATTTTAATACAAGATTGCTTATGTGGCAGCTAATTAATGAGGAGAGAGGCGTTTGTGGTACTCCTTTCATCACAGTTTAAAGGGCGTACCTCACATCTCTCTGGGCCCAAGGCCGCTAGCGATTGGCAAGAATAAATGATGCGTTGGAGCTGCGGTAGTTAAGGATATGTGCCTAATTAATCGCCAAACAAACGCATAGTAACCTTCCCGTCCAATAAAAGGCCTCGCACAGCCATGCATGCAAACAAAACCGATTCACACATCCACTTAAAGTTTCAGTTCACACCATGCATGCACACCAGGAAGGCAAGCGGAAGGAGTAATTTCAGCGGGCTAATTAATGACCTGCGCCCTATTTCCTTCTAATTGTGAAAAAAATTGGTTTTGAAGATACGCCCTTTAAACTGTGATGGAGGGTAGTTGCACACCAACGGGTAGACAGTTGCACAAAACGAAAAAAAATTGCACAAAAAAATTTCATCAAAACATAGCCATGTGGGATATAGTTTCGAAGAGCACGCCACGAGGATTCCAAAAGTGAAAACTGGTCTTAATTTCCATACACTCAATCTATCTTAGTCAAGGCGCTCGCTCTGCCACAAAGGGAGGCACTGACAAAATCTAAATAGAAAAGAGATGTTTCCAATTAAACCATAGATATCCACTTCATACTTATAGTATTCTATTTCGGCTTGCTTGGATTCATTCAAGACATCTTCATATCTATTAAAGAAATCAATCAGCTCCTAATTAGGTCCCCCAAGGCGAGCGAAGTGACGTTTTTATTTCTCTTCCTCCGGTCAGAAAAAAAAGATTTATATTTGAAAGTTATAGTTTTTAAAAAATTTGAAAACCTGAATTAAGTGCATTTACATTTCATGTGGATGCTTTGCAATTAATTTTTATTTATATCATGTTCAAACATGTTCACACCTATTTA